TGCCCCAAGCCTTTTTAAAATGATCTCTGTGTCTTGTGTCTTTAATCCTCATTCGCCTCTCCCCCACCCGTCAGGACAAGCTTGTAGGCTGGCTCCTACACTTTACCCAAAAGGCATTTTGTCCATCTCTAAGAGTTGCCAAAGTCCCTTAAGTTTCAGCATTGTTGAAAAGTCCAAATTCCAGGTCTCCTCGGAGATTTAAGGCAACTCTTAGCTGGGAGCCCCTGAACAAATGAAAGTTAAACACTTCCTGCATACAATGGCATGAGATAAACTTTACCATCGCAAGAGGTACACATAGAGGAATACAAAGGAATGGGACCAGAACAAGTCCAAAACCCAGCAGGGCAAACATTAACTGCAAAATTTCCATGTCCCACATCCACAGTGATCTGTGGTAAGCTGTGAACACCAGAGGGCTTAAGCAGCTCCGCCCCTAAACTGCGTCTGGTTGTTGCAGCTCTCATGGTTTCTCTCTCGGGGTGGCTTTGCTGACTCCTCGCAGCTTTTCTCATGTGATCTATGCTCCTGACTTCTCCAGTCTTCTGAATTCTCCACTGAACCTTCAGTTTACACTCACAGCTTCACACACTGCCCTCTGGGGCACCCTGCCCGGCCTCCCAGGCCTTCTTCTGACATCTGGGTGGGAGCCTTCTTGACCCCATAACTCTGGCATTCTACATGGATCCAAAACCAGAACCATGTGGATACCACCAGGATCTGCCACAGGCTGGAGCCATAGCCAGGCTTTTTCTCTCAGCTGTAGGGGTCACCTACGAACCAAGTTCTGAGAAACAATTTCCCTAGGCCACTGCCATTTCTGGAACGTGGTGTTCTGGGTCTGACTTTATAAATTAAAGTCTTTTGCTGTAAGATTTAAGTCTCACTTTTACTCCTGGAGCGTGAACAGCCAAGAGGCTTCCACGATGCTGGGCTCAGAAGCTCAGCGAGGCTCCAGGAGCTTGTCGGACAGCGAGAGTCACCCAGGAAGGAACACACCAGGCAAGTTGGCAAATAGACCTTTATTAGTCTGGCCAGACGGCACTCCCCAAGCCAAGTGGCTCAGAGAGGCGGCTAGCTCAGAAACAGAGGCCATTTTATATAGGGCTGAAGGGGGGTTTACACTTAAGACTTACAGGAAGAGGACAAAGGCAAAGAGTCAGTTGATCTGAGCTAGTGGTCCTCACGTACTAATGATCAGCAGAGTGATTATCCATTGTTCCATTTACAACCTAGGTCATAATAAAGTTCAGAACATTCAGACTACAGGCAAGCAAGGAGTGGCGTGACCTGTGTTGGGTCTCTGTGTTCACTACAGTTTCCACCTAGTTTCCCAGCTACTCCGAAACAGCCACCTAACAATTCACAATGAATCATTAGTTATCCTACAAGGGATGGGGGGAGCGACAGTCTCTAGGTCGTTTGCTGGTCAACATGGAGCCGCTCTGGTTCAGTCAGGCTCCTACATTGCAATATTGAGGCTGCAAAGGGTGGAGTCCTGCTGCTTCTTGCGATGCCCTCAGGCCATCTTTTCTCTTCTGTTCTTTCACAGTAATCAAGATTTCCCCTGCTCTATCTTTGCAGTCCATAGCTTTACTTGTACTTCCTTTCTGGCCAGACCAACAATGTTTTAAATTGTTCTCCTGGGCTCTTTGCTCTTGATTCTCAACATAGATCTGACTAGAAGCCCCCAACAGCAGCCATGTCATGGCCTCAACATTAGACCATCTTGAAATTTCTTCTGCAAGATTAATTAACCTGCCGTCCTCAATCTCAGCTCAGGGGAAGTCTCTGGACACAGGCAAAATGTGTTGGGAGCCATTCTACGTAATAGTGGGCAAAATTGTTTCATAATTAATGAATAGGGCTGTCTGAGGCCTAGTCTTGCCTGGGAGCCAGCTATGGCATGCAGAAATATAACTCTGTTGTGCCTCTGGTCGCAGCTGAGGCCTCAGTGGTCCCCTGATGCTGTGACTCTCAAGGGCAAGATCACATCAGCTGAAGACATCCTGGTTCTTTGAGAACTGAGTAGTAATTTAAAAAGAGAAAAAGGTTTCACCTGGGGAGGGACAAATTTCCTCTCAGTTTAACTAGTCCCACCTACTGTTGGAAGAATGTTTCGCTCATCTCACCATCCTCATCAGAGTAAGAGCCTCATGGACCTAAGATCCTCATCAGCGTGAGATCCTCTCATCATCCTACACCACCACCCTCCGAGTCACCTGATACTACCTCAAATTATTGTACGAACCCCATAAATAGCGGCAAGCTTAGAGTATCTTTGTCTTTGCCCACTCTGAGGTACCCCGTGTACTACGAAATTATGTAAGACCACCATCTTTCTTTAGCCCTCACCGTCAGCCTTTCTAGGCAGTTAGAGTGAGAGAGAAATGCTGTACAATAATGATAGAGAAGTGCTATACAATAAGACAGGCCCTTACCTTGTCTCTATTTTTTTGTATCTCACATAATGTTTTGTTTCAGAAATGTAAGTTTGTGCTGCTGGGCTCCTGCCCAATGTATCAGAATGGTTTGTGACTGTTTGAACTGTGTGACCTTTCAGGGATGTTCTGTTAAACTGTGCCCCCTCACAAGAAAGTTCTGTTAAGTTCCACCCCTTCTCAGTAATAGTCTGTAACCCCGCCCCCTGCTTCCGTGAGCATGCTCACAAGGCATGTGATTTAGGCCTGTGCTGTAACTCCACCCCTTTCCTTCAGGAATGTTCTGTATCTTCAGTGAGCATGCTCACAAGGCATGTGTTTCAGGAATGTTGTGTAACTCCACCCCCTGCCTCACTGAGCATGCTCACACAGCATGTTTTAAGAATGTTCTGTAACTCCATCCCTTTGTTTCAGTGAGCATGCTCACCCTCCCTGTAGATCCCTACATAAGGAGGCTTTCATTTCTGGTAGAGCACTCAGACCTCTCTGAGCTCCCTGGGGCTAGCTGGCATAACAAAGGTTTTGCTCCACCTCTTCAAATTATGAGAGCTGAGACCCAGAGCTGCTACACTGAGCTGTAAAGCTCAGCTGTGCCTCAGAGCTGTGTTCCAGAGCCTCCACACTAGGCTATAAGGCTCAGCAGTGCCTCTGAGCTGTGGCACTGAGCTATAACACTATTGACCACCCTCCGATAAAGATGCATACAAACTTTCTGCCAAGGCATAACGCATGTCATCTGTAGTCCAACAGCCGATGCAGTTCTTCCCAGTGGAAATCTCCTGAGCCTGGAGATTTTTACTGGCAACTTTTCTATCAGCATTTTTTTGGGGGGTACCAGGGATCATACAGGCGGCAGAACCACTAAGCTAAATCCTCAGCCCTTCTATCAGCATTCTGATCTTCTGAGCTATGACTAGAATCTCCCATCGAGTACCTCCAGTTACTTTTCTTCTTGCTGAGACAAAATACCCAACAACCACAGAGAAGGGGGGGAAGTTTATTTGGTTTGCAGTTCATAGAGGTTTCAGTCCATCATCGACTGACCGCAAGACAGGGTGGCATGGCAGAGGGGCACTGCAGAAGAGAAAGAGATCACAACGTGCAGAGACAGAAAAAGCAACCAGTTGGCAGCAGCAGCTGCTTTCTGCCCTATTTATACTCTGTCTAGGCTACCTGGCTTAGGGCAAGTGCCAATCAGTGGGCTGATTTAGTAATCACACACCCTTAAGCCCAGCACCGAACACTTAGATCCAGCCACCCCGGAAACCGCCTCCACTGCAGTGGCCGCATGAGGCTTTGTGGGGACATCCAGACAGACACAAGCCATAACAACTACATGGAAAGGCCCTGTCTTAAAAAAGTTATTAATGATATTTACAGCATTAACACATTAAAAGGTAAACATGCATGATTATCTCAACAGGTGTGGAGAATAGTGGATAAAGCTTAACACTAAATCATGATTTTAAAAATAAATCTAGGGCCAGGGATTTACAGTGGTTCCACTGCCTGCCTCGCAAGTGCAAGGTCCTGAGTTCACTCCCAGCCACCAAAGAAATAACAATAAAATAAAATAAAAAATAAATCTGAGTTTGGCAATGCAGCTGTGGGGTTCAAATCCCAGTACAGGAAAAAAAAAATCTGACAAGTAATAGAGAGAAATGTTCAAGTCAAGTTGAAGACACAAGTTCTTACTCTTTCTAAGCAGCTTTGTGCTAGGAACTGGTTTGAATTGTCACGATAAGAAAAAGAAATATGGCTGGACACTATGATACATACTTGGGAGGCTGAGGCAGGAAGATTACCACAAGCTGGAAGCCAGCCTGGGCTACACAGTGAGCTGGGGTTCTTCAGAGTTTGTAACACCTGTGACACCTTCGTGACTGCCTTGCAAGTTCCCTGCAGGGGTTTCTTTAACACTCAGTGATGTTGGTTATGCACTCCATGTCATCATGCCGCTTGGCTGTCTTGCAGGCAGCCTCAATGTCTTAGTTAGCTCACTTCTTTGTTAAAGGCTGACTGCAGGGATCACTTGGTTCCAGATGTTTCCCTAACTCAGGGCAACACTCCTGCCACAGACTACCAAGTCCTAATGTTGCGGCAGAGAAGAGCAGCTCAGTGTCGCAGCCAAGTGCCACAACCCTGAGGCACAGCTGAGCTTTATAGCTCAGTGTGGCAGCTCTGGGTCACAGCTCTCATAATTTTTGGTACTAGGGATCAAACTCAGGACCTTGAGCTTGTGAGGCAGGTGGTGGATCCACTGAGCTAAATCCCAGGCCCTTACACCTCTCATAATGTTTTTTGCCCCCCCCCCACAACTCTCCTAATCTGATGACTGAAGAATCCTATGGTCAGTTGAAGAGGTGGAGAAAAACCTTTATTATGCTAGTGAGCCCTGAGAGGAGTCTGAGCGCCCTACCAGAGAAGAAAGCCTCCTTATGTAGGGACAAACAAAATAATCCACTTATTTTTTTTTATTTGGCCTTGAACTATGTAGCCCAGGCTGACCTCAAACTTATGGCGATCCTCCTGCCTCACCTCAGCCTCCCGAGTGCTGGGATTACAGGCCTGGGCCACTACGCCAGGCAAAATGTAGGCAATTTTGAAGGAAATAAAATCTCTTGAGTGTCATTGTTCTAAAAAAACGCCACATCTGTCACTTCTTCATAAAGCCTTTAGATTCTGATGATTAAAATGATAAGGTCCTGCTGTGAAGGCTTCTAGTTCAGACGGGGAGGTGTCATGATCAGTATATTTCTGATTATTTTTGGTACATACAGAATGTTTCACCTGTATTTCATTATTAGTGTATTTCACAACATCTTGCAGCTTATCGTCCATCAGGAACAATTCCCAACATTGAATCGCAGAGTTGGCGTTCTGTCCAGTAGGTTTCACCCCAGGCAAGAACCTAATCACATTTTCTGACCTAGTTCTAACGTTGGATCATTCAAATCTACTTGACCGTTCTGTGCCATTTTGACTAGTCAAATGTTGATTTACATCACTGTTTTCTTCCCCATCTGTATCATCCTGTACTTCACTGTCCGTATGTCTTGCTCCATCTCGTTGTCACAATTTCTTTGGCACACATGGTTCAAGTCATCATTGGTAGCCGAGTTGCCCGATGACTCACTTTCAACCTCCTCCCAAAGTTGTAAAAGCAGATTCCCAGGTGACACTGTACCGAATTGGCTATTGGCTATTAGTACAATTGACACTGTACGAATGCTACAAGTAAAATCAAAAGAAAAGATTTAATAAAATAAATTATAAATACACAAGATGTAGCATGGAGCATAAGCTGGGTAAAAACTTACCTGTTGTTTTTGTTGTTGTTGTTGTTGTTGTTGTTTCATTTTGTTTTTTTGAGACAGGGTCTCACTGTATAGTTGAGACTGGCCTGGAACTCACTATGTAGCCCAGGCTGGTCTCGAATTCACAGAGATCCTCCCGCCTCAGCCTCCCAAGTGCTAGGATGACAGGTGTGCACCACCACGCCCAACAAAACTTACCTGTTGTTAATGTGACACATGGGCATATACCTTGCCATCTGTCCACCAAGTGTTTGAACACAAAGATCACTTCCTGAATTCAACTAGCACAGCTACGGAGATGCACAGCTGGCTACCACGGCCATGAAGCACACATTCGCGTTAGACAAGCATGCATGGGTGTCTGTCAGCCAACAAGAGGAATCGAGGGTCAGGCTGTCGCTGAGAGTCGACACTGAGAAATTCCAACTCATGACCACTGGAGCCAGACTTTCACTGGGGGCGCTGCCCAGGCTGAGAAGAGTCCGATCCACCTCTTCCAAGCACTTGGGGCCTCTGCTACCTCAGCTAGGATCTCTCAGCGTCAAAGCCGTCAGGGAACTAACTCTCCGCTCCTCATCAAGTTTCCTTTGAGCATAGCCTGTGATGCTCACCCCAGTGTAAAACGCAGTCGGGAATACAATACCACTCCGAGCAGGACCGCTTCCAGGGCTCACGTGGAAACAGTCGATCCTTAGGAGTCGCGTTCATCCAGTACGGCAGTGCCACGAGTGAAACAGACTGGATCCATGTCTCAGCAGAATGTGTCCAAATCACGGTGGCCAGGGACCTGACAAAGCCTCTGAACAGCGAGCTTCTGGGCCACTCTTCCTCTTTATAAGGAATGGCATAGGTCCTCCCTCCAGCTCATTTAAGGCTCCCCTGCAAGGCCACCTCCAGGACCCGGGTGCTCATAGGGTGACATCACCACCTCTAAAACATAAATCTTCAGGCTTTGCTTCTCAAGCAGTGGGGACAACATGCACATTCCCTTCCTTCGAGGTCACAAAATTCTGGAACCTTGATGACCCTTTCTGACCACCCATTGAGACCAAAGTAGTAATCGGCCAGCTCTTTGCATCACGAGCTGTGCGGGGCAAGAGCCCAGAGGGTCGCATCGCCTATGTCTGGTCCCAAGACAAACCTTCACTGGGAGTTCTGGAAAAGTGGTTTTATCCCAGGCCCAGCCCAGAGTCTCAATCTCCTGCAAGGCAACACGATGCAAGGTGAAAGAAAGACAGAAACAAGACTCACACAGAAAGCAGGGAAGTGAGACGGACCACACCTAACATGTGGTGAGGACACCGAGCAAGCAGGACCACCCATAGGTGTTGGTTACACAGGTGTGGCTAAGAACAGGGTAGGGGATACACGTGGCCTCCGATATTAGCTGACACAGGCAAGGCCTGTGGAGGGTAGGGTAAGGCATTCTTACAGAAAGAGCAGCACTGACCAAGGTTGGTATGAAGCTACTGAAACGATGAAGGGAGGAGCAGCTCTCTAAATGGAATGCGGTTTGGAGCCAAAGGTCCTGGGCTGCAGTTATTTCACTGAGGAGCCCTGCAGCTACACCAATCAGGACCAGCTCTCCACAGCAGCTGTCCCAGCCTCCAGCACCACCCGACAGGCTCCTGTGAGCCACCTAGGCTTCAGTCTGGCTCTGAGTACACTGAAGCCAATGATAAGGACAGAATGCCTGCTCCGTGTGACAGCCTGCTCTAAGCCTGGCCGGGGGGTCTGCCACATCGTTTCCCATCATAGGGCTTTTGGCTTTTCAGGCCTTGCTCACCGAGTAAAATTTAAAGATGGCATAAAAACAGAACAGGCCACTGTGGCCCTGGGAAGAACCTGAACCAAGCGCAGAAGTCCAAACTGGGAAAATGCTTGGAAAGAGACCCATGCAAGGCCATGGCCAAGGCCCCTTAGCTCCCACGCCAGTAAGGTTTTGGAGCTCACGGTGGAAACTGCAAAAGGCACCAACCACCAACCTCAGGAAATAGTTTGATAAAAGTTGAACTATTCATAATCTAGTATTCAGTGTCCATCTACTCACCAATAAAGAGAGTCGGGATCATACTTCACACACATTACGTCTAGATCTGCATGCATACAAATTTAACAGGATTTATAATTACTTAATAAGGTAAGACATTCCTCAAAAATCATTTGCAACTGTTGTGAAGTTCACACTACAAGAATTATTACATCGGTGCGGTGACTGACACCTGTAGTCCCAGCACTCAGGAGGCTGAGGCAGGAGGATCACCACAGTGTGAGATCAGCATGGACTACACAGTGAGTTCAAGGCCAGCCTGGGCTACATAGCGAGACCCTGTCTCAAACAGCAACAAAAATCATTACCTCAAGAACATGGCGGCGGGGGAGAGAACACAGAGGGTTACCCATTTGGGACCTCTGCTGTCTCTCAGGAGCTACTCTTTTTTTTTTTTTTTTTTTTTCCTAGTACTAAACTCAGGACCTTGCATTTGCAAGGCAGGCACGGTGCCACTGAGCTAAATCCCTGACCCTCTCAAAAGCTACTCTTATTCTCCATTCCTACTCCCCCATGCATTTTCCTACCCTTAACCTCCATTGTTGCTTGAACTTCTTTCTTTGATTTCAGGCAACACGAATGCAGTGTATCTGACATCAAGCAGGTTGGGAATTACATTTTCTCCACTATACTCTAGAAGGCTGAGGCAGAAGAATTGCAAGTTTGAGCCTAGCATAGGTAACTTAGCAAATTAGCAAGATCAAGTCTCAAAGGAAAACTAAATAAAAAAGCGCTGGGGATAGTGTAATGTGAACTTCCTGGGCTCAGTCCCTAGTACTGAAAAGAAATTAATTTGAACAAATAAGTTTGCATATCTAGAGTTTATTTAGATCAGCTTTATTCTGATTCTGGTATCTATTTTATCTTCAACTTTTGTTCAAGATTCTTTCTCTCTAAGGATTATGCACACTCCTGGGACTCACTTGGAATGAAAGTGAACACCGGGCTGGGAATTTAGCTCAGTGGCACCACACCTGCCTCTTAAGTGCAAGGTCCTGAGGGCCAGGGATTTAGTGCAGTGGTTCTACCACCTGCCTCACAAGCACAAGGTCCTGAGTTCGATCCCTGGTACCACAAAAGAAAAAAAAATCAACTTCTCTAAACGAGGGTTCAGACTATCAAATATTATTTTATTCAAACAGCTGGGAGCAACTTCTGCCTTGCAGCTAGCAAAAATATAGACACATCAGCTCTATATTTTCAAGAAACTCAATTTTGTTAATAACTTTAATGAACGGGGGAAAACTGTGAGCATCAGCTCAGATACTGGCTCCAAAGGACACACGGATTTAGCACGAAGAGACCAGCACCTTGTGAACTCCTGCCTGGAATCCTGACCTCTGTGACCTCAGAGCTCAGCGATCCCTCAGTGTGACTGGCTAAGGACATGCAGTGATCATGGAAAAAATAGTTCCATTACTGACAAATATAAGAACAGGGCCAGGGATGTAGCTCAACAGTGCCAGGCAAGTGCGAGGCCCCGACTTCAATTTCCAGTCAAGAAAAAGTTATTGCACAACAACAAAAGCAATGACTAAGGCATAATTGATGCCTAACCCTGAGAAGAAGGTCACACACACCAAACTGAAGAACAATCTATAAAGTGTCTAGCCAGTGCTCCTCAAATACACTGAAAAATTCAGAGAAACTATCATAACCTATAGGAGCCCAAGGAAATATGTCAAATAAACACAATATGGCATCCTGGGTGGGATCCCAAAATAGAAGAGCAATGGCAGATAAAAGCTATGCACAGCCAGGCGTGGAGGCTGAGGCAGGAGGATCGCTGTGAGTTCGAGACCAGCCTGGGCTACACAGTGAGTTCCAGGTCATCCTCACCATATAGTGAAACCCCGTCTCAAAAAACCAAAAGAAAATAAATAAATAAAATGAAAACCATGCACATGCGAACAAAGTACTGGTCACGCACTGAGCATCTTTGGGGGATTGGTTATATATTTTATCTTACAGTCTTCCTTTAGATCTAAAACTATTCTAAAATAAAAAGGTTATACTTTTTTTAAAAAATTATTTTGGTACTGGGGATTGAACTCAGGTCCTTGTGCTTGAGAAGCAGTCGCCAGAACCACTGAGCTAAATCCCGGCCCAAAAGGTTATATTTTAAAACTCAAAAGAAAAGTAATATTGGGCCAGGGATATTCAGCTCAGTGGTTTCACTGCCTGCCTTGCAAATGCAAGGTCCTGAGTCTGATCCCTGGTACCAAAAAAAAAAAAAAAAAAAAAAAAAAAAAAAAAAT